TTGCACTCCGGGTGCGCTAATCGCTTGATAGCCGGCGCGCGGGTTTTTATCTGCTGAACTTTAATCATCCATGTTGGAATTTTGCGTGATGATTGTTCGGCCACCCGGCTCAATGGCGTTGGCGTTGGAAAGCCTGTTCGCATGCGCGCTCCCCCAGTGGCTAATGGCTTCGGTTAAACCAAGTCTCAGCACCGAATATGGGTTCTGAAGGTCATTTTAACTGCTAATAAACTGAGGGTCCGTAAACCGTGAATCAAGCAACTCGCGATTAGCACCTCTCACGAGAATTTCGGTGTCTTCCAACATGATGTGTGGCCGGGTCACCGTTATCGTTTCCTCGCTCTCTCCCTGAAAATGCATTCAAACTGGAAATAAATGTTTTGCCCTAACGATCGTGACTGCTTTGAGTATCCACTGGATTTCGTACTGAAAAAAGCTTACCCGATATGCATGGACGGAAGTCTTTAAATTAGAATTCCGGGATAAAGAATCGCGCTGACTACCCATAATGACAGGAAACCAACTGGTTAGTTATCAGAAACAAATTGAAATCCCATTTTCTTATGAACAGTCCATTCCCAAAATCATTCTTCGAGGTACAGGAGTCGGAAAAAAGTCTTCAAGCCATCAAGAAACAACTAACTGAAAAGATCACGATTTTTACAGAAATATCCATATTTTATGGACTTTCAACCGGCGGCCTGAACTGCTGCCCAAGCCTTATCGAAAAATGGGTTTTGGCTCTATGGAACAGCACCACTTTCAGGAGTATTCGAATTTGTAACCGAAACCAACGCCAGGTTGTATGATCCCGCAGAACTGGTCGATTTAAACTTTGGTTTAGATCATTCAAGCACAAATGTTTGGCAACGGTTGGTTGACTGAAGCAAATCGGACGGAAAACGCATTCCTTTGATCTGTCCATGTCAGGCAGACAAAAATTTGAACAAACTTTGGATAAGTCGAAGATACATGGTTACTTGAAAGCATTAACGTACAGGCTTCAACCGATAGGCTACTACTGTCCCCTAGGGTCCAAATAGTTTCGAATGGCCTATCCCACCCCCACAGACAGTTAGAATTCCACCGTGGCGATCCACCGTGGTGCCTGTATCTGGTTAGGAATCCGAGGGTGGGCACGCTACGTCTTGCAGTCCGTCGTAATATGCGCAACATTAATCGCCTCGCAATCTGACCAGAATACACCAGTAAGCTCCCCAACTGCCAGCGTCAATTTTTTCTCGGATCGTAGAAGCCTAATGTCGGGCTAGCGCAAAAAAAGTGGCTGAACTCTCCTGCAAATCCCTAGATGAGCCCTGCACAAACTGTACCTCAGATTGGCACGTTCCCATCCGCGCACGCTGCAATCAGTGTGCTAGACTTGAACGTGACCGATAAAAAGAGGCATCCTGCTTTGCTTTCGGCGAACACCCATCTCTCGTTCTTCCTTCACAGTTGGGCAGCACTGGCTTGTTTGCTGTCTGTTAAAGCTGACAGCAGTTGACTGGTTTGCTGGGATTTAAAATGGCATTTTCCAAAACTAGCATTTTTAGCCCGCTATTTTCCAGATACTACCTAAATATTATGTGAAAGTGTATTTCTCGCTCACTCAACTTCTGCGCCCCCACCATCGGGGCTGATATATGAACGTAATTGGTGGGCTTACATCTGGTCTGCTTTTTTCATTTCTAGGGAGTTGAGTGTCCTGATTGAGCCGCGCGAAGATGGACCCGTTGAAATGCTGATCACCTACGTGGTGACGCGCTGCTTATGGAAGCCGGCATACGATATCCGTCTCTTTAACAGTGATGGATCCATGAAGGTAATTTGTGTGTTCTACTAAAAACTTTGCTCTTCAACCCAAAGGTGTTTGCCAAAATTAACTTCTAGTTGCAAGAATACATCACTCTTTTAAGCTCCAAACAACTTAGCAATCTTACCAACTTCAGTTAACGAAGTTAGTCCGTTTCGACATCGAGCTCATCATGTGAAACGCTCGTCTAGCGAAACGTAGCCAATCATACTGCAGCACTTCACTGATTGGCTGGAGGATCTACGTCCTGGGAGTAAGGCTCAACGGCAGACACAGGCACACACTCGTAAGCTGAGCGGAAGCTCGTCAATCGAAACAAATGTTCTGCTAGTGGCTCGTTCGTTACCTGAAATGTTCGAAGAGGAGGCTGCTATTCGTTCGAGGCTCCACTGTATGTGCTACCTGACTACTACTTACCGTTCGCCAAGAACTTTTAAACGTCATTTTTGCAGATTTAGCTAAATTCAGTTGACATCTTAAGGTTGCTTTCTGCGAGTCCTGTCCTTTGGGTTAGTTTGCGGGTCTCTGGTGGGTAGTTACGTGTAGAAAGCTAAAGCGTCATTTGGTTTCGAACGGTTTTCCAATGTTTGTGAAAAGAGTGATGAAAACACTTGAACAACATCCCCAACGTCAGATAGAACTTCGACTGCAATAGTTATGTGCAAATCAAAATAATCCAGAAGAAGGTTGGGTGCAGATCCTTCCAAACGTGTAAGACGGTCATTCTATGCAGTTGTTTTTTTTTTTGTCATGAACAGCCTATTAAGATATTTGGTACGTCGAGGCCGCATGAGGACAGGCAAACCAATTAAAAGTTTAGCAATTCATCCGAGGATGCCATGTTAAACTCGTTTGCACAAGCCGACTGTAATCTTCCATGAGTAGACTGCCTCTAAGGGTTTTTGACTTCCAGGCTGTGCTACTACAACCAGCGGGCCTAGCAGGTTTGATCAAGCTTCAAACTAAGGGAAGAGGAACCACATCACTCCAACCTCTGCATCCTTTTGGACCTTAATTCTGCTCAGCTGGGTACCGGAACCATTATTTGCTCCCCGATTCCTTCAATGTTCGGCCACATGCATGTGTGGCCTCAGTTAATATGCAAACGCCGCAGAATATTCGTTTCCTTCGGTATTTTTCTTGGGTTGAGTGGTGCATACCTTTCATGGCATAGCACAGTCCACCCTTACCCTGGAACTGCCTAGACGCCCTAACTCTTAAGGGGCCATTCAAACCATCGCAGCGATTGAGGACTGTGCAGCATAGGAATGGATCCTCTTGGAACGCTTAAGGTTCTATTTTACCCAAGTAGGTTTCTGCTACGAAAAACCGGCCGTTGCATTTCACCTAAGCAGAGTCCGGCGGAGATGTAGGACGCTTCTGATGGAAATGTCAATTCCGTTCAACCACTGCACCTGACCTGAACATCCCGGAATGCCCTGAACCACACCTGTGGCCGGTACAGCCTGTGAGAAAAAAGTCGCCAGCAGGCCGACTTTGAGGTAGCGTACCTCAGGGCAATCCATCGCCCACTCCCCTTTACTAAAGTTCATTCTGTGCACTTTGAAATTATCCCGATGCACGCACACACGGACACACGCAGGCCAGTGGCTCTGACCTGAAAGGCCGGACAGTAGGATCTGACTAGTGTCAAGCTACAAGTACATCTTCCCACGGCAGCTGTCTTCGGGTGAAGACCCCACAACATTTTGTATGCGAGGGGAGGGGGACGGAACGTGTTTGTGGGTTGCTTTAGGTGTACTTACCACACAGGGTTCACACAGGACAGTCCAACCGTCGATTTCGACGAGGTACCCCGTCTGCTCCATGAGAAGGTGGTGCGGGGATGGTGACTTACTTCGAAGTGATAGCAGACCTGCGTAGCATCTACCGCACTCCCTCTTTCCTCATCCAGCCGA